AACCATACAAAACACACTCTGCCTCCAAATTCGGAGCATGCGCAGCCAACCCGATGCGGCCTCCCCCCACCATCCCCGTCAAAAAACAGTACAGAGTACACTTGGCGGCGGCGGCGGCGGCGGCGGCGGCGGCGGCGGCGGCGGCTGCGGCGGCTGCGGCGGCGGCGGTGGAAGCGGCGGGGGCGGCGGCGGCGGCGGTGGCGGCGGCGGCGGCGGCGGTGGCGGTGGCGGCAGCGGCTGCGGCGGCAGCCGCTGCGGCTGGGGCGATTTGGCAGCGGCGGCGGCGGCGGCGGCTGCGGCGGCGGCGGCGGGGGCGGCGGAGGCGGCGGCGGCGGCGGATTGGCCCCCAGTAGCTGCCCATCCAAAGACGACTGCTGAATATGCTGAAGCTCGGGCCAGACTCGGGTGCTACGTATGTGTTGGGAGGGCGAGTGGGAGTGAGCGAGACAGCTTGCGAGCGGGGAGGGAATCTTCACCCCTCCCCCTACACCCTCCCCTGGACCTGGACGGGGGGTTCCGCGACGCGTTGGAGCGTCCAAAACGGCCTCGGCGAGGCAGGCAAAATCAGTGGTTTTACTAGGTTTTGGCCCCATGTTGGCCTCCTGAAGGGGCCCGCGAATTTATCGCTCATGATGGCATTGGTCGCGGGCATCTCGATAGCCATGGCGCGGCGGGCGCCGCGCTTAGCCTGTCGCCCGCTACGTGATCCCCCGCCCCTGCGTCGAGGGCCAGGCGGGGATGGCACGCCCCCGAGTCGGGCAACGGCTCCTCCTCCTCCTCCTCCTCCTCCTCCTCCTCCTCCTCCTCCTCCTCCTCCTCCTCCTCCTCCTCCTTAGGGAGCCCACAAAGGACGTACGCGCCCAGCTATGTACATGAACACGGCCCCTCGATCCGCGAGACCGGCCGCGTTATACGAACATTTGCGAAATGCGTACTCTCAAAACCAGCGTGGATTAATGTACATGTACGTCCTTCTTTCGCTCCTGACTCCTCCTCCTCCTCCTCCTCCTCCTCCTCCTCCACCTCCTCCTCCTCCTCCTCCTCCTCCTCCTCCTCCTCCTCCTCCTCCTCCTCCTCCTCCATCCTCCTTCTCCTCCTCCTCCATCCTCCACCCTTTCCTCTCCTCTCTCATCCTCCCTCTCTCCCCCCTCCCCTCTCTTTTCCTCCTCCATCCTCCTGCCCCACGGACTCCACGAGCACCTCGAGGTCGTCCGACCAGCCCAGCGCCCGCGCCAGCTCTTCGCACCCGGCGTCACAATCGCCCTGGTACCAGACGTCCCGCCAGTTCGCGCCCTCCTCCTCCAGGTGGAAGCGGAAGCCCCTGGCGAGCCCGTCACACGTCCCGGCGGGGTCGCGGTTGATCAGCAGCCGCGGCGCCCCAGGGGCCGCCTTGCCGACCAGGCTGTTAAAGGGGCCGACCACCAGGGAGGTGCCGATCGCAGAAGAACAGATGACGGCGCAAGCATAAGCTTGTTTGGAATTCCGCTCGGGTTTCTTGGGTCGGCGCCAGACACTCCTGGCGGCGCGCGTGGCGCCTCCCCTGGCGCGGCGCCACGGGGTGGGGGCCCAGCGCCGACCCTCGAAATCCCGGCAGACCTCCGATCGAGTTCATGCTCACGGCGCCTTGTCTTCTTCCGGATCACGATCAGCAGGTCGCAGCTCGCCATGTCCTGCTGGTGCAGGCGGATGAACCGCTCGGGGAGGCCCTCGCCGAAGAAGACGATCTTCGGCTTGACGAGGTTGCCATACTTCTCCCGCAGCCCTTGCCAGCCGGTCTCGCCGCTGAGCACCGCCTCTCGGCATCGCCAAGGGGCGGGCACGGGAAGAGCGGGCACGAGACCCAACGAGAATCGGCGGCGCGCCCTGTGCGGGGGGCAGGCAGAGGGGCAGAGGGGTTCTCTATCCTCCCTGCTCCTCCTCCTCCTCCTCCTCCAACTCCTCCTCCTCCTCCTCCTCCTCCTCCTTCGCATCCTCCCCTCCTGCTCACTCTCCTCCTCCTCCTCCTCCTCCTCCTCCTCCCCCTCCTCCTCCTCCCAACTCCTCCTCCTCCTCCTCCTCATCATCATCATCATCATCATCTCATCATCCTTCCCCTCCTCCTCCTCCTCCTCCTCCTCTTCCTCCGCCTCCTCCTCCTCCTCCTTCTCCTCCACCTGCTCCTCCATCCTCCGTGTCGACCTTCATCCTCCATCCGCTCATCCTGCTCTCTCATCCTCCCTCTCTCCCCCCCTCTCGCCTCCCTTCTTCTCCTCCATCCTCCTCCTCCGACTCCACAAACACCTCGAGGTCGTCCGACCAACCCAGCCTAGCGCCCGCGCCAGCTCTTCGCACCCCGCGTCACAGTCACCCCTCCTCCATTATTTTCCTATACTTACTGTCTCCCTGTCGCACTCCGAGGCCAGCTTTTAGGGCGGGCCGGGTGTTTCGTCTGAGATTTCCTGACCATTTACGAACCGTTCCACAAGTGGAGGGCGGGACATTTTCCAAATTTGGCTCTTGCCTTAGCGCCGCGCAGATTTGCTTGTCTAAAATACATGTTCAAAACGTGGCTCTCGCCTTAGCGCCGCGTACACTCGCTGTAAAAAGCTGCAAGGGTTTCACGGATTGAGGGCGGTTCCTTTTCAAAATGTGGCTCTCGCCTTCGCGCTGCGCACATTCGTTTTTAACAAAAGAAAGAGTTTCACGGATTCCCATGATCAGCATACAAGAAACGGTGTTTCGTAAGGATTTAAGATTATGAGGGTGCTACCGTTACATTGATTCGTGGTGTTGAAGTCGCAGGAATGGCGTTCTGGCACGATTCAAGATCGTCAAGACGCAACAGTCAGGTTGATCCGTGGCGTAAAAAACACGAGAACAATGTTTTGGCATGCTTCAGGGTCTTCAGACGCTTGTCTTCCAACATGGCAGTTCCGTCTGTGGAAATGAACCGTTGTAGGGGCCTATGAAGAGGGAGCTTGGAGAGGCGGTTTACTACAACATCGTTGATGACTCTTTGGTTTGCACTGGTCCTCCTCCTCCTCCTCCTTGCTGCTCCTCCTCCTCCTCCTCCTCCTCCGTCTCCCCCTCCGCCTCCCCCCCCTCGGCCCCGACGAGTAGCCGCAGGGCGGGGCGGGAGAGGGCCGGCCGTCTCAGAAGGCCCTGAAGAGCCTCCGGCCCTCTGAGAGGCGTTCCAGGCCTTCTCGGACGCCCCACCGCCATGATATGAGAGCTGCCCCCATCTCGCTTCCCCCTCGGCGAACCGCCAACAGCAGCAAACGTTGTCCAAAGCCGACAGCGGCCGCTGTCGGGCAGGCGGCTGTCAGTCTCAAGTGGGCATCGCCCGCAGCGACGCCGACGGCGAGCCCTCTTCAAAAAAAACACAGGCTGTTTCACGAGGGGGAGGCGAGCCTAACCTCCGGCGTTGAAGGGCCCCGACTGGACAACACGGTGGGGCCTAACAGGGCGATATTCCATAGGGGGGGCGCTCGTCCTCGAGAAGGGGTGCAGCCCCCTGGGTTGGTATCCCCGAGTTTCCCTCTTTCTGAACGAGCAGCTCTTGTTGGGGGGCAGAAGGACCACCCTGATTATAAGCACCCCGACAAAGTGGAGCGTCTTGAAAACGCACCTAAGCAAGGAATCGAGCGAGGCAGGGCCGCTTAGCAAACGCCCACGACTGCTCAATATATGCCAACTATGCGGGGCCAGGTGGTCTTCCCTCCCGTGGGAGATGGGCAAAAACTTGTCGGTCATCATCCCCACTCTTTCCGTACTCCGAGTTGTTCAAGGAACACACATACACACCAATGCCACTCCATCAGACGGCCCGTCCAGGCCCCCCCACGCGCACCGAACTCCATCCCGAACGCGATCCGACCCCGACGCCACGCCAAAGACGGCCCATTCTTACCCCCCCCCGAAAACCCTGCTCTCCACCCTTACATCTGTGGCAACTCAAGGGAGCCTCCAATGCCATGTTGCTGGCTCTTGCGAATCGACGCTAATCGACCCAAATCGACGCTGATCGACGCTAAACCGACGCTAATCGACGCTAAATCTGCGCTGTCTCATCGACTACCAGATGCTGGCGCACGCTAGTGCACTCTGAAAACGTACTTGCGAGGGCACACAGGACTCCTATGACTTGCGACTGAACTTACCCCGCGACGCGATCCTGCCCCCCTCGCTTAGTGATCAACTCGCGACACCCATCTCGATCGAGCCGAGCCTCGCGCAACTCCGAAATGGGCACCGCGACCTCTGGCTCGGTGTCTATCACGTGTGCCTCGTCGAAGTTGCCGTGGGCGGCCACCAACTTCTCGGGCCTGAGCCCCGCCTGGTTCTCCAGGGAGTCGATGTTCTGCGAATAGCATCGGAGCAACAGCCCCTTCTCTTGGAGCAGCCTTTGGGGGGCCAAGCCCGAGAGAAAGGGAGGAGGAGCTTACTTCGCGCGCCCACCACCACCACCACCAACACCACGACCACCACCACTATCCTCATCACCATCCTTACCACCATCATCATCATCATCATCATCATCATCATCATCAGCAGCAGCAGCAGCAGCAAACGCATCATCATCAGCATCATCATCAGCATCATCATCATCATAATCATCATCATCATCATCATCATCATCATCATCATCATCATCATCATCATCATCATCATCATCATCGTCAGCATCGTCACCATCATCATCAGCATCATCATCTGCATCATCATCACTAGCATCATCAGCAGCAGAAGCAGCATAATCATCATCCTCAGCATCATCATCATAAGCATCATTATCATCATCAGCATCGTCAGCATAATCAGCATCATCATCACCACCATCATCATCATCATCATCAGCTTCAGCATTATCATTGGTATTATCATCATCAGCACCACCTTCATCAGCAGCAGCATCACAATCAGCATCAGCATCAGCATCAGCATCAGCATCAGCATCAGCATCGTCATCATCATCACCATCGCTAAACCTGATCATCATGATAATCATCATGATCAGCAGCATCATCATCAGCAGCATCAGCATCAGAGTCATCATGAGCATCAACCTCAGACTTATCATCCACATCATCATCACAATGATCAACATTATCACGATCCGCATCAACATCAACAGCATCACCATAATCAGCATCATGAGCAGCATCAACAGCAGAATCATCACCATCAGCAGCTGAAGCAGCATGTTCATCATCATCATCAGCAGCAGCATCATCATCAGCAGCATCAGCATCATCATCAACATCACCACAATCATCAGCAGCATCAGCATCACCATCACCATCATCATCATCAGCAGCAACATCGTCATCATCATCGTCAGCATCATCAGCATCAGCATCAGCATCAGCACCATCGTCATCACCACCACCGTCACAATCACCAGCACCATCACTCTATCACCGTGACCACCATCACTATGATCATCATCATGAGCATCATCATGATCATGATCATGATCATCATCATCATCATCCTCATCATCCTCATCATCATTATCATCATCATCATCTTCATCATCATCATCAGGATCATCGTCATCGTCATCATCATCATCATCATCATCATCATCATCATCATCATCATCATCATCATCATCATCATCATCATCATCATCATCATCATCATCATCATCATTATCGTCGTCGTCGTCGTCGTCGTCCTTGCTATCCTCCTCCTCTACCTCCACCTCCTTCTCCTCCTCCTCCTCTTCCTCTTCCTCGTCTTTGCTCCTCCTGCCGTCGTCAGATGCTCTCCCCCCCCAAGGGGCTCCGAACAAAAGCGGAAGGAGACGGGGAGGGGGAGCGGAGGAGGAGCGAGGAGCAGAGAGGGCGAGAAAGCGAGAGAGGGAGGGCGCAGGGACCCACACGCTGGCAAACATACTTCTGCCGCTGCTCGCCTTCTATGGGCGAGAAGCAGCAGAGGCTGCGGGAGGAGGTGCGGCGGCGGCGTGAGCGGCATGGGCCGGGCTCAGACAAGCGCGTTCCACTACTCGCGAAGTAGCTACTCGCAAGTGGCCTGGATCCGACGCATCGAATCCAGCATTGGTTTTGTTGGGTCGTTGCTTCTGCTGCATCGAATCGCGCGTGCTTTATGCCATCGATGCAAAGACGTGTTCTTGTGTGATGTTTGCGAGTAGCCACTTTGCGAGTGGTGGAACGCGCCGGGCCAGGGGAGGAGGCCGCAGCCGAGGCCCGCAGCGGCCGCCGCGCCAGCCTGAGGAAGTAGTGTGCGGGCGTGGGGCTAAACTTCCTGGGGCGCAGGGCCGACAAAAGGAGAGTTCTTCCTCCTGCTCCTCCTCCTCCTCCTCCTCCTCCTCCTCCTCCTCCTCCTCCTCAACATCATCATCATCATCATCATCATCATCATCATCATCATCATCATCATCATCATCATCATCATCATCATCAGCAGCAGCAGCAGCAGCAGCAGCATAATCATCATCATCACCATCACCATCATCATCATCATCATCATCATCATCAGCATCATCATCATCATTATCAACATCAACATCAACATCAACATCAACATCATCATCAGCAGCAGCAGCATAATCATCATCATCAGCAGCATCATCATCACCATCATCATCAGCATCATCAGCCACGTCATCGTCGTAATCATCATCGTCATCATCATCAGCAGCATCAGCATCATCACATCATCACCATCACCATCAATATCATCATCACCAATATCATCAGCGTAATCATCAGCAGCAGCAGCAGCGTCAGCATCATCATCATCATCATCATCATCATCATGAGCAGCAGCACCATCCTCACCACCACAATTATCATCATCATCACCATCATCATCATCAGCAGCACCACCACCATCATGATCACCATCGCCATCACCATCATCATCATCATCATCATCACCACGATCACCATCACCATCACCATAATCAGCATCATCATCATCATCATCGGCAACATCATCATGATCATCTGCATCATCTGCATCATCATCATCATGATCACCATGGTCAGCATCATCATCATCATCATCATCATCATCATCATCATCATCATCATCAGCATCATCATAATCAGCATCATCATCAGCAGTAGCATCCGACTCCTCTTCCTCCTCCACCTCCTTCTCCTCCGCCTCCTCCTTCTCCCCCTCCAACTCCTCCCCTCTGATATCCAGACTGCTCCAACAAGGTATCTTGTCGGTGCCCTCCTCATCCTCCTCCTCCGCCACCTCCTCCTCCTCCTCCTCCTCCTCCTCCTCCTCCTCCTCTTCCTCTGCAGACCCTCCTCCTCCTCCGCCCCCGTCGCTCCCGGGCCACATCTCGCGGCAGAGCTCGTAGAACGCCCCGGGCCTCTCCCTGAAGTAGTCCAGGTCGAAGATAGACTCCGCGCGCGGAAGGTCAAAGCGCTGCAGGTTGTCGTACAGCCCGGTGCCCGGCGTGCGGAAGTCGGGGATTCCTGAGGGGAAGAGGAGGGGAGATGAGGGAAGGAAAAACACAGAAAACAAGAGAAAAAACATATAGATAATCGTTGTGTATGTGTGTATATATACATATATATATATATGGATTCAAAACCTGCGATCCAGGCGATGCGTTTTTTCTTACAAGGGGTTTTCGCTAAATTGTGGGTCTTGTGGCCATCACAGATCGACCCGGCTCGGAAAATGCCGCAGACTGATTGAGTCTGGGGCTCCGATCGTGAGTTTGGGAGGGGGGCAGGAGCAGCTGGGGGGGGATGAGCAGGGCAAACGGGGGGGATGAGGAGGAGCATGGGGGAGGGGGAGGACGGCCGAGGAGCAGAGAAAGTGGGGGGGAGGAGGCCGGACGAGAGGATGAGGAGGGGGAGGAGGGGGACCAGCGTTGGCAGCTTCCCCCTTTTCCCCGTGTTTTCCCAACCTCTCCTCCGCGGGAGGCCGACAGGGAGCGCGGGCCGTGTGCTCTACAAGAACACGCTCCAGCGGACCGAGCCACGTGTTCCGTTCCTCCCGCCTTCCTGCTCCTCCCCAAGCCCCGCCTACGCCCACCCCCCTCCTCCGCCCTCCCCCTCCTCGCCCCCCCCCTTCCTTCCGCCCTCCGCCCCACCCCCTCCTTCTGCCCCCCTCTCTCCCCGTCCCACCCTTCCTCTTCCTTCGCTGGGAGCACCACAGCTTATCATGGAATAGCGTGCCAGAGCAAGTACTTTTATGTCGGGCGTGTCCCCCAACAGGGGGATCTTCGACGAAAAATAACAAATACCCCCAACATACTCCAAATAAACAAAACAAAAAACAAACCAAAAAAACAAAAAACAGAAAACAATAAACAAAAAAAAGTCCCCAGACTATGTTTGGACTATGTTTGATTATGTTTGGGGTCTTCTTTATTTTTCGTCGAAGATCCCCCTTATGGGGGACAGGCCCGACATAAAAGTACTTGAACAAAACACAGATCCAAAGGTCAGAAGAGTATCTGGCTCGACGTCCAAACCAAGGCACGTGGGCCCGTCCACGCTGGACCACCCCGTCACCACAGCCACGCGCGCTTGAGGGCAACAGAGGACAAAGGTCATGTCGGGCCTGTCCCCCTACAGGGAGATTTTCGACAACAACTAAGAAATACCCCAAAAATATTCAAAAATAATCAAAGCATCGTCGGGAGACTATTTGTTTTAGCATGTTTGGGCAATTGGGGGGTATGTTTGGGGTGATTAAAATTTGTCAGCGAAAACCCTCTGTAGGGGGGCAGGCCCGACATAAAACAGAGGACAGCCAACGCGTTGCCCAGCGCCGATCCAAGAAACCCGCGCGGGTCTCCGAGAAATCCTGCGCCATGCCACTGAATGTTCTTCGGTTATCCGAAATCGTTGACTGCGCTGAATCCCAATCGTCTGGCGACGTGCAGCGCATCGTCCGGCGGGCGTCCCCGACGATTCGGCGCGAGAGGCGGAGGGGGCGCTCCTGCCGAAGTCGAAATGCCCGCGCCGCACACCAGGGGCGGGTCCAAACTGGGACTGGCCCCTGACAAGGAGGGACGCAGGAGGAGGAGGCGGAGGAGGAGGCGGAGGAGGAGGAGGAGAAGAAGAAGAAGAAGAAGAAGGAAAAGGAGGAAGAAGTGGTGTTTCCATGCTCCCAGACACACCCCCCACTGGAAATGGGGGGCAGATCGGGGCCATCGGGTTTGGTTGGGGTGGTTTGGTGGGCGGCGATGTAAATGACCCAGAGCGCACCTGGCTCAGGAGGAGGAGGAGGAGGGGGAGGAGGAGGAGCGAGGAACAGGAGGAGGAGGAGCGAGAAGGAGCGAGGAGGCGATGAGACGATGAGACGACCTCGCGGACAGTCTCCTGCCGCGCTCGCCCGCGCGCGGGCGAATGAAAACAGAGTCAGAAGTGGCGCGCGAAGGAGGAGGAACACCCCAAGCGTGGCCAAGCCCCCCGAGCGGGGCCACCCGAGGCCACCGCAGCACGAGGGGGAGCAAAGGGGGCGGCGGACAGAGCCCAAGAGGCCACGGCCTGCTTGGAGCACTCCTCCCCCCCCAACCTGTCAGTTCAAGTTCACCTCGAGCCCGTCGGGCCTGTTGAACTTGCCGCGCCACTTTCGCCGTGAAGGTCACCAGTGAGGTCAGCGACGAACTCCTCGCCGAAGGTCTCGACCAGCGCCACCAGTTCGACGCAGACAAGCGCTTGGTGGGCCAGCCAGGCGCGCTGCGGGCCAGCGGGCTTCTCGAGGTAGGCGTCCACCGAGTCGAAGCCGACCAGCTTCTCGAAGACGCGCTCCTGTCCGAGACGCCTGGCCGCCTGGATCTGCCGTTCCTTGAGGAACACGGCGGCGTTGGCCTTCAGGACGCCCTCCCAATTGGTCTCCGCCTTGGGCGCCTCCGCAAAGGTCGGGAAGCTCGGGATCGCGGGGAAGTCGCCGAACTTCGTCTCCGCGCCGAGCGAGAGCTGCATGTCCGCATCCTCCATCTCGTCAGCGTCCAGCCTATAGACGGGAATGCCCTGGGCGGCGAGCCGCTCGTGCAACACCGCCTCCTTGTAGTTGATCTGGCCATCGCCATCGACGTCGCCCTGGCCGCCGAGGAACGCGATGCCCTGCTTGTCGGCGGCCTGCTCCTGCAGCACCGCCTCCTCGTGGTAGAACTGGCCGTCGGTGTCGACGTCGCACGGGCCGCCGAAGGACACGAAGGCCGAGCCCTGGCCGCGGGGGGGGGCCCGCGACTTCGTGGGCCAGAATCCCACTGGCCCCCCCCCCCGACCCCGCCTCGGCGGCGAACTGCACCTGCAGCGCCGCCTCCTTCGATTGTAGTTGAAGGAACCGCGTCTCGATAGGAACCGCCTCCTTGTAGTTGAACTGGCCGTCGATCTCGGCGTCGCACGGGCCGCCGAAGGAAGCGCAGGCCTGGTCCTCGTAGTAGAACTGGCCGCCGCTCACGACGCCGCTCGGGCCGCCGAAGGACACGTAGGCCTGGTCGAACTGCTCGCCGCTCTCGGCCAGGAGTTGACCTCCTGCGGCGGCGAGCTGCTGCTGCTGCTGCTGCTGCTGCACCTCATGCGCCGACGGCGCGACCTGGAGCGCAGCCTGGCAGCCCTCGGCGCCGCCTTGCACTCCCTCAGGCTGGAGGCGCTGTTTGCCCCCACCCAGCCCTGCGGTGGGGCCGCGGGGCAAGGCTCCTCCAGCGGCCGCAAGTCTCCCGGGGGCGGGTTCGTCGCCTGCGCCCGAGCCCCGGGTCGCCTGGGGGGCGTTTTCGGCGCCGCCGCCGTCGCGGCTGTCGGCCTGTCCCACCTGCGCAGGCGGCGCAGCGGTGGGGGCTCCTCCGCCGCCGCCGACGCCACACCGCCCTCGATCGCCAGCTGCCGCGACGGGGCCTGCGAGGGCCTCGGGGGGGCCGCTGACGGCTCCGGCGCCTGCCGCGCAGGGCGCGCCTTCGCGGGGATGGCTGCAGTGACCGCCGCCGTCACCGCCGCCGCCACCACCCGCTCGATAATCACGACGTGGCCAGCAGCAGCCTGCCAGGTCTGCCTCCTGGCCTGAGCCTGCGCTGCCGTCTGCCTCCAGGGCGCTAGGTCCACGGTGGACCCGTAGCGCCATGACATCAAGCGACGATGAAACCACGAACTTGGTTCACTCCGCGATGCCCCTGCGAGGTACGCGGAAGTAAGCAGAGGAAGAAATTCAATACCCTGAACTCGTGGAACCCGCACAATCGCAGCGCGCGCGGCCGCCGCGCCCTGGGCGGGGCGGCGCTCCTCTGCCGCAGGGGCTTAAGGAGCGAGGAGGAGGAGGAGGAGGAGGAGGAGGAGGAGGAGGAGCAGCAGCAGGAGGAGGAGGAGGAGGAGAAGGAGAAGGAGGAGGGGGGAGGGGGGGGGGGGATGACCGAAGATCGATCGGCGATCGGGGTTTGAGGAACATCGAGCGGGGCACGAGCTACACAGTGCGCCTGGCCCAGGTCGGACCCGCCCGCATCACGACGATCCGTCTGCAGCCGTGCTCGGCCACGTGCCGCGCCACGCCCTCCAGGTCGAAGGTCTCCAGCACGCGCTCGCGCGGCTCCTCCTGGCGGGGCTCGCTGGCGGGAGGTCGGGGGGGGGTCCTTCTCTCCTCTCGGAAGCATCGCTGGCGACCCACTGCTCGAGCATCGTTTCGCCAACTGTACCTCCACTGATACGGCCGTGGCCCCACTGGCACACTTGGCCCCCGAGATGGGGACATGTGCTGTTCCCTCTGGCTCGCGTGGGGCCTATCCCCACCTGCGGGGGTGGGCTGGTGGCCACCGGGGCCGAGATACTGTGGCCCACCAAGATGGATGATGCAAGAAACTGCTGAGGGCCCGAGGACGAAGAAACTGCTGCGGGGGGGGGGGGGGGGGGGGGGGGGGGGGGCCGCGCACGTGCCTCCTGGCGGCAGGCTCGCTCGCCTCGTCAAACATATTTACTGTTGCCAGAGCAAGCGGGGGCGCCGGGTAAGTCCGAAGGCAGTTCGCTCGACCATCGCCCGTCTCCGCACTGATCGCAGGAGTGTTGGGGTGCAGAAGAATACCTGTCGCACGATTCTGGCACACCCAGGCAGAGGCCATGGCTGCGTGGGCGCGACGGCATTTACGCAACCCCGAGAAGAGGCAGCCAGGAAGCATGAGAGCGCGGAAAAGTGAGAGTGAAAGACGGGTGTGCTGCAACTTCATTCCCTTTCCTCTCCGAGGGGCAACGTTAGGGGAACCTAACTCATCAAGGGAAGGAACATCGACCTGGGATCGGCGATCCATCGTCGATAAATCGGCGATGGGCTTCCGATATCGGAACCGCACGGTCCTTGGCGGGGAGGGCTGTCGGGCCCATATCGGCGATGATTCGGCGATTTGGGGTCCATGTATCCCTCCCTGAGCCTACGTTCATCTAACGTTGTCCCTCAGCATTCCCCCTGCACCCCACTCACTCAGATAGTCAGCCCCGGGAATGGCCAGGATGGTGTCGCGACAAGCACCTTCACGACAAGGAAGAGACATATTCACGACAAGCAAGCCCACGTTCGGCGCCCACTTTCGCCGC